AAGCGACGCAGGCGGGCGCGGACCATCGCCGATCCGACTATGATTTATAGATCATGTCATCGGCAATACGCTTTCTATACGTCACGGGACTTGTCATCTCGCGCCCCCGCGGGAGACGAGGCGCAAAAATGATATTTGTTGTCAATAACCTAGCTAGGTATCTGCGTAATACTTGCCTCTTGCATGGTCTTTTCCACCCAGTCAATTTTCAGGCGAATGAACACTAGATAAGGAACAGTTATATTGGACTCATTTAAATGCAGTGCTCCAGAAAATTTGCAACTGACCTGTAGTTACTCCACTCTGAAGGCTAAATTTAAGTACCTACTTAATTAATGATTAATGAAAACTTTCAATCAGTCATCGTTGTACCTAATTACCTACTTTGTTACTTTGTCTTCTGCATGACCCTACTAACTCTGCAGATTCAAAGTTCAGAATCTTACCTAATGAAAAAAGCAAGCATTGTTTTTCTGAAAATATCATTAGGTATCTGAGTTTGGTCATCACACAATAAACATTTATTCTGAAGGTAACTGAACAGCAGTTGCTGAAAGCAATGGAGGATTATTTTTCAAATAATGATTAAAAAACTTTCACAAATACAGCATTTGTATCAAATCGAACAATAATCGCTCATATTGTCAGTTACAATACAATTTGTTTGGAAACTCGACGCGTGAGGGAAATAATAACAAATGATTCGATCCCTAACGCCGCCTGGCGTTGAAAGATCACGCCTATTGCTTTCGTTTTGATGAAAAAACAACATAACTTGCGTCGCAAAATACTTAATGGTTAATGTAACGAATTGAGAACCTACTCTTTTTTGAAGTCGGTTAAAAATAGACGTAGTCACGATCATCAGCTGCAACTTATAGGATAGTAACTGCTTACCTACCGGCCCATGTTGTAATGCTTATTCAGGGTGATTCCTATAAGATGTCAAGCCGAAGGCTGCGGTGCCTTTGATTGGTTTAATGAAATATTTTTATTTAACTACTTAGGCATTCTGTGCAAAAATTAATCGACCTCTGAGCATCTCGTCTCGTTTTACACAAAATTGAATACCGGAGATTGAGTTGATTTACCTAGTTGAAATCCGGTAATCAAGACTTTTTTTATTATCTTAGTAACTTACCTCTAAAGTTCCAGACAATTAGGTACCTACCTACTTATTACTTATTACCGATTCGCTATAATAGGTTTCCGTTAAATTTTGGAACCCGACGATCTCAGAAGAATTTTAAGGTTGCAGGAAGTAGGTAGGTATCTGGATGTGGACCGCGCACTTCAGCGCAGTACCATAGCAAACATAAAGTGAAACAGCTTATCTAAGAGGGCGACTAGACTTCTGTACCCCCAGTGAAAAGGGATCTAACTCGACTTAGATCAAAATTGACTTTATAACATAATGTGAATCTCTGAAAAATTAGGTATTTTTGTATCTAATCGGTATGTTTCTACGACATATAGAAAAGAAAATAATTTTGTGCCAAATGATACAAGTAAGGCTTTGTGAACCAATTTTGAGTTTTCTTTCGTGTATATTGATACATGTCTACTTTTAACAAAGTGTACCGGAGGCTTCTTTCAATTTTTTATTNAATGTTTACTAATTATGTAGCACCTATGTCATTAATTTAGGCTTGAGACGTGGACCAACCAAACAAAGACTGCTATATTTCTGTCTGTCATTAGTTTTTGCAACTCATTGTGACGAATTTGATTCCTTGGTTACAGACATTTTTTAAAATACATTTGAGATTTCGATTCCAACGATGTGGTGCATAGTAGGTAGTGTATTAGCAAAAAGTAATTGCAATAAGTACAAAATTATCATTCCGGTAAATAACTATGTACCTACTACAAATTCAGCCTTATGATATATTGAGATGGTAAATAAAATTTAGATTTTTATTGCCTGTATCGGTGTTTGGTTTAATTTTTAAAACAAGTTAAGTACTTTACTTCTCGGAACTGTATTCATGAGCGAACAAGAAACGCAGTCTTATTAAAATTTCTACGAACAGAAAACATTTATATTGCATTTTCGCCTGTTGTCTTAAAATTTAGCTGCCACAATTTCCAAAAACCAATCGAAGTATGTTTTTATACTCAACTGAAACTTGCACAAGCAGTTTCGACTTAAATTGAATATCAATGATAGCCCCCCACGTGCCCCCTATTGTCCAATATATGTAGTTGCCAAAATCAAAACCGCTTGGTATGGGCTCTAAAAAGCGTCCGAAAAAACCTATCTATTATTCTCTCTGTGGCGATAGTGTCGTAAAACCATTATCCATTTTCAGGTGGGTATTACCATCGCTAGATTGAATTTCTAAGAAGCCATTGTATAAATAGATTGTTCCAGACAGATTGAATATTGTTATTCAGACTTAACTGTTTATTGGAATTGGGACATTCGGGGTCGATGGATGACGCCTTTAGCCAGTCAGTGTGATCGTGCGCATGTATTTGCAAGTAAAGTTGCAACTTAGTTTTTCGATTGTGCCAGTCACTTCGTATTGCATTATAGAACATTTTGCGCGATTTTTAGAGATAAAAGTGAAGTAGGCATAGGCACTTAGTTACGCTTGGATAGAATTAGGACGCTCTAGAAGGCTGTACTTAGTACCTAGTGTCCAGAGGAGTGTGTATTTCTTTAGTACCTATGCTAATTACCAAGCTTTTATTCCTGACTTGCATCATCATAAGCTATGTTAAAGTATCTATTTATTTGAAGATTCGTAAGTAACTAGTAATTTGTGGTGTACCTACAGGTTGTAATATTCGCGTTTTTAATACCATAAAAGTAAATTGTTTGGAGTGGTTTCACCTCACCACTGACACGAGAATCGAAAAAGCGTCTTTTCAAATCGGCATGTGGTAGTCTGTCGCTTGAGCTCCTATCATGTCTATAGCGTACAAATCTGTCATACAAAATAAATTTTATGAAATCCGATTTGTATGAAAATTAAAATAATTAAAATGAAGATATCAAATTTCTGACTTCACCCTACCATTTATATGCCCATGTTAACATGGGCTAGTGTCGGCTCATATACCCATTTACCTAACATCCTGTATAAATCTAGCCTCGTGTTGTTGTTACTAACTTACATGGAAGAATAATTTTGCTACAGTCTACAGGCTGTTAGGTAAATGGGTATATGAGCCGACACTAGCCCATGTTAACATGGGCATATAAATGGTATGGTGAAGTCAGAAAATCTATATCTTGATTTTAATTATTTTAATTTTCATACAAATCGGATTTTATAAAATTTATTTTGTATGAAAATTAAAAAAATTAAAATGATGATATCAAATTTCTTACTTCATCATACCATTTATATGCATATGTTAACATGGGCTAGTGTCGGCTCATATACCCATTTACCAAACACCCTGTATATGCGAAGTAAAGTCTACTAGCGGTGGTTTTAACGTAAAATGTAGTTGACTTGTAAAGATATCCGATACTCAAAAATAAAGTGTCTCACGTAGAATCTTATCAACATGTGATTCCGAAGTGCTTATTTATGTGAAGTCTAGTGTAACAACCTAAAATATCCGAGTTGTCAGTGCGATATCAGTTATCTCCTCGATTTAAGGAAATTCTACTGACCGAAGTCCAATATCGTGGGTTATGCCAAAAATAATAATGGCAAAAACTCAGTAACTAATCTAATTTTGGCAAAAGTAGCGGTTTGCAAACCGATCCCAGTTAATTTTGGGCAGTTTCTTTAAATGTTTCAACAATTCATCGAAGGTCTTGTTTGAAAAAAGAGTGGATTTATATGACTAAGTTTTTTGATACGGGAAAGTTAATTTAATTCCCTGAGACGACTACAACGAAAATCCATGTAGCCGGTTCATTGGTTGAATGCCATTAGTTTTAAAACAATAGGCCGTTTGAGTTGTTTCTCCTCGCCTTGGCAATGACAATCGCGGTAATTGCCAGTCTAACAATAATTAGTCTCCATAGCTAAACCTTTTCTAGTTAGATGAAGGTAGCTACCACCTGGAATGCTACCGCATTCGTCGAAATACAATTTGTTGGTAGCCACTTCATTTTCAAATGAGCGTGTTTTGAGTGTGAGTCACACTGTACACTGTGTCCAGTAATTATACCCCCTAAAATTATTTAGGGGGTACCTAGTAAACGGCTTTTCTATTGTTTTATTTTGTTTTAGGATTGCAATACAATTCAGTTTCGTAACTGTAAAGAAAATCCACTTATCGCCGCGTGATAATATTGTCATTTGCCACATATTCGAGTTTATTTTTAACGAAGTCACGACTGTAGGTCACGTAACAGCACATACTGTATAACGCCCTATGCGCGTGTATCTTACGATTGGCACGTGATTTTCTCAATAGCCTCCTACTGATATAATCGCAGACTTCCGATCTATTTACAAATGAATAATTATTATTAATTATGCTTGCTTGGTAACTTAGATTACATCTCGGACGATCAAAGCAACATGCGCTTCCGAGGTCATGCGAATAAATCATGGACATGGTACACTGTGTTGGCAACAACTTATGCAATGAACTCTGACCTCTAAACTCGAACTTATGACCTCTATCCTGAATTCGATATTCACTACTTGTCTTTCAAACGAAAGCCATTTTATTCCTGAAGGCAACAAGTGGCTTAGTGTTTTTGAAACATGTTCATATTTGAACTCTCTATTATTTTTTTACACCCTGTATATTTTTATTATGATTTTTCAATGTTATTATGATAAATACATCTAGGACTGCTAAAATTTCAATGTTGTTTTTGTTTTATTTCAGTTATTTGGTATCGGGCGATGCGGACGGCAAATGCTACATTTGGGACTGGAAGACGACGAAACTATACAAGAAATGGAAGGCCCACGACGGGGTTTGCATATCGACCCTGTGGCACCCTCACGAGCCCAGCAAGATGCTGACGGCGGGTTGGGACGGCGTCATCAAGTACTGGGACTGAATAAAACAATTCATCCGTTTCCACGTCTTTAATTTCCCCTAACATGAACCACGAACCATAAATATTACGATAAAAATAACGCAAATAAACTATACAACATCTCTTAACATTTTTTTTACATTTTCTTTCATGCTAACATCAATTTGTCATGGCCGTCGGCAGGGGGCGGTGCGGGTTACACCTGCATCGGGAACTTGTAGGGTTCCTCGTACGCGATGTCGACCTTGTACTCCATGCTGCACTCCCTACAGGTTCCGTTCTCCAGGAACTGGTTGAAGCTTATGTTGTTTTCGTGGAACGCCTCGGTCAGGGCGGCGACGAGGCTGTCGATCATCTCGGGCGTGTGGTAGGGCCCGGGCGCGAACCGCAGGCGCTCCTCGCCGCGCGCCACCGTGGGGTAGTTGATGGCCTGCACGTAGTGGCCGCGCTTCATCAGCGATTCTGCGACCAGCGCCACCTTGTCGGCTCCATTGATCGGTACCGGGACTATGTGGCTCACGGACGGCAGCTGCGGCAGCCCTGCCACCAGCAGAGACAGCTTCAGGTACCGCACGATGGCCTGGTGCTTCGCTCTCAAGCTCCTGCCCTCCTCGCTGGCCAGCAGCCTGATGGCAGCCAACGAGCCGGCCAGCACGGGCGGCGGCAGCGCTGTCGTGAATATGAACCCGGGCGCCAGCGACCGCACCGTGTCCACCAGCAGCGAGGACCCGGCGATGTATCCCCCGACGTTCCCGTACGCCTTCCCGAGGGTTCCCGACACGATGTCTATTTTGTGTTGAATTCCTCTCTCCTCCCCTATACCCGCCCCGTGCTTGCCGTACAATCCCACGGCATGAACTTCGTCTACAAAAGTTAAAGCTCCGTACTCGTGCGCTATATTGCACATCTCTTCTAATGGACAAATAGCTCCACTCATGGAATGGACAGTCTCAAATACGACTAGTTTCGGTACCCCTTCGGGAGATTCTTCCAGTAATTGTCTGAGATGGTTCGGGTCGTTGTGCCTGAATATATGCTTCGGTGCCCGACTGTTGCGTATGCCCTGGATCATGGAGGCGTGGTTCCCGGCGTCCGAGTAAACGATGCACCCGGGGAGGATCCGAGCCAGAGTCGACAGTGTTGCATCGTTGGCAACAAAACAAGAGCTGAAGATCAGCGCGGCAGGTTTCTTGTGAAGGTGTGCTATCTCAGCTTCCAGCTTCTCGGTCATCTGGGAGTTGCCGGCGATGTTGCGCGTGCCGCCGGCGCCGGTGCCGTAGCTCTTGATGGCGTTGACGGCGGCGTCCTGCACGACGGGGTGGCGCGAGGCGCCGAGGTAGTCGTTGGCGCACCACACGGTGACGCGGCGGTTGGCGGCGCCCTCCAGCGCCTGCGGATACGCGCCGTCGGCCGCGAGGCGCGACACCTTGCGGAACACGCGGTACGAGTAGTCCTTCTTCTTGGCGCTGATCTGCTCGTTGAAGAACTTCTCGTACTTGTACGGCATGAGCGTCTCCACGATGTCCTCGGTCATCTCCTTGGGCGCCTCCGAGATGATCGCGTTCTCCTTGATGAAGGGACACTTCGTCTCGTCGTTGCCGAGGGAGCGGAAGCCTCTCGAGATTATCGGGCAGTAGTTCCCGTATTGCTTCATCAGAGTTGCTCCGTAATTCCTTACGAAGGCTTGGTTGAGCGATCCCAAAAACGGACAGGGCATTTTATGTAATTCTTGGTAACACTCCGAACTCTCACCACACTTCAATATTACGATTACGGTGTACGATGTTTTTTATTTATGTTAAAACGTTGGCTCGCACTGTAGCCGAACGTTTTACAGAGTAAAGTTCAACTGGGGGCTCCTGCTACGGCACCTTTCATTTATAAAGTTTGTGTCGTCATATCGATTACGACCGACTGATGATAACTCACACACCTCACAATTTTGACCATTTCGCAACCACTTGGAGTTGCCATTGTAACGAAAGTGACGTTTAGGAATAGTAAGAAAATTGGTAATAATAACATTTTGCATTTTTAGGTTACAGAAAATTTGGTGAAATCCCTTGCTTCTGCCCTAGTTCTTAAAATTAATCAATTTAACCACAATTTTTCATTAAAAAATTCAATGTAACGAATGAATGAGTGAATGAAAAATTATTTTTTTTATGACACATGACAGTCAGTTTAGCCAACATAAAGATTTAACTAGTCCGAATCCGTCCGAAACGCTCACCACAGGATTTCGTGGAGCGAGGGTAGATAAAGAAAGCATGGTCGATCTGTTTTAATGCTTTTGTTTTAAATTGACTTTCTAAAGTGTAGTGAAGTGATAAATTTTTAAAAGCATTTAAACACTTTGAATTATGAGTGCATTGAGTGTCAAGATAACTGTTGTGTGGACAAAAAATAATATTTCTGTGTTCAACCGTTGAACACAGTTCAACGGGCCTTTAACTTTTTGAAATAAGCCCATAGTTTGATTGCCATTAAGAGCGTTTACGCGAAGCGCGGCGTTTCAAGGGGCATCATTGGAAATGATTCGCGCGCGGCGTTTTTTAATAGTTTCCAAATGTTTATAGCAAAACAAAAACAATGAATTATATATCTTTTCAAAGTAAATATTTTAAAGAAGATGTTATTTTATTATATTATGCTATTTTTATGTTGAATTAAAGAAGAATAATGGTGTAAAAATCACTTTGATTTTTGGGTATTTCACGTTTTTTTAATTTGTGATTTCTTATTGTAAAATGCTTAAATCTAAAAATTTTCTCAGATAACTATTTGCCCAAGGATCTATGCTATAGGATTTGAATGTTTGTTAAGTCGTTTTAACAGTATTTTTATAAAAATTTCAGCTTGTAAACTGACGCTAAAGTGGAAATTTACAAAACCTGTGTTAAGGACTTATCTTGATAGAATTCTTAAATACTAAACTAGTCGCAATATTTTCTCAATTAACTATTTAGACGATGAAATTGCCTAACTATTTATGCCTATAACATATTTGTAATATTACTGGTTAATGATTGTAACGAGTTGAAAAAGTACTGTTTTTGCGCCAATCGGCGTAAACGCTCTTAAAGAAAGAAGAAACAGAAAGCTCACTACAATTTGTTTGATACACAATGCGCTTACGAAAAAGTTGTGTTTATGGAGGGTAATTTGATTTTTACTACTGTTAAAAAAATCCGACATTATCCAGTTGTAGTCTTGTAAATTCAGCTACGTAACACTTGTGGTTACTTTTTCTATAATAAAGAATCGTGATGTATTGTGTGCTTCGAGAATTAAAATTGTGATATTGATTCAGAATGGAGAGTTACCGCAGTAAGTACTAAACTACTTATCAAATTATGACCTTTAGTTTATTTATGCTTGCTGTAAGCTGTAAATAAGTATCATCAAGCTAAATACGGACATCTTTTATTAATTGTAATATTGTAAGGTAACATAGTAGATCAAAAATGTTTAATCTGATAAGTGTGCTGTTAAGCTCTTGTAAATATTAATGTGTGTGCCTGCCTGTATATCCTGGGCATTGGCCGAAAAACTTAAAATGAAGCTTTTTTAATCTTAAATAAATAAAATTAGTAATTTTTGTGACATTTTCCGCCTTCCTTCTTTACGTATAGGTTTCCTAAATCATGTCATGACTACGGACATTTTTTAATTCACAAAGCTGTTAGTCGCAGGCAACTATTTCAATTTTCACTTAAATTTTTTGAAATACCTACCTACACAATCGTTTTCGGAACGCAATTTAATTTTGACAGATGAGTGTGAACTGAGTGACATTGACACTTGACAGTAAGAAATTATTGATAAAAATTTCGTCGATGTGATTATTCGTGATTACAGAGTGAAATGAAATCCATTTATTGAAATTATATACCCAGTAATCAGATAAATGAAAAATGTTCACATTAAATAATCAAATAATTATGGAATCGGAATTAAGGAAAGTGACGATTTCTAGTCTTGTAACATGTATTTATTTACCTAGTTTAGTCACATTTATTTCGTACAAAGGCTTACTTTATTCCGTTGGGAATGCGTCTTCTTTTTATATGTTAGCTTTAATTTTCTCGGCGGAGTTGCTGAAGTCCCTCTATCTCAATGTATCCAGTGACATTCAAGCGAGGAAAGCGAAAGCCAGCAAGAGCCGAGCGGGAGATATACTGAAGTCTCTATTGTTCCTGCTTGTTGTATTGTTCAGCTACTTTGTCGGAATCATATTGTTTGGCGCGCCGCTTCTCGATAGCCATGAGGAGACACTGATGCTGGCCACATTGATGACTTTACTGACAGTATTTCCATTGATTGCGCACACTGGAGTGGAGGCGTCTATGCAATTGATGTTTGGACTAAAGACTTATGGCAAGGACACAATTATACAGATGCTTATCAACAACTCATTGTTGGCTGTCGCTGGGGCGTGGCTGGGAGCAGTAGTGATTCCGCTGGATTGGAACACTCCGTGGCAGCAGTGGCCGATACCGTGTTATCTTGGCGCCATTGGAGGATACTTACTGTCAAATGTGCTGACTGTATTGAAAGTATGTCTGATGGCAGCAGCTCAGAAATACCCATCTCTGAATTTTGTTGTTAATATTATGAACACTCTTCACAATACCAAGAGTAGGATATAATTTGTTCCCACTGCTATTTATTTATTAAATTTATTTAATAAAAAATTCAGATTATCACTAATAAATCATTGTATTTTTAATCAATTTCCTGTTTAACAGTTTATGATGTGATGTATTCTTTAATAGTATTAATTTGAAGATAACTAAGATTTATAGTAAAACTGCATTTCAAACTATTGGGCTTGTTTAGAAGATTAATGTACTATTCTATTTTTTATTAGGTGCACATAACATTATATTTAATTTGTCTTGTGATTTAAGGATGAACTTCAAATAAACTGCATTTATCACTGTATTATTCAATATGAAGTTTTCTTTGCCTAGTTGTGGTCTTACTGCTTAGATTCTACTGGTAGTAAATCCTTGTACACTGTTATACAATTACGTGCTCTGTGCATTGCACCATCCAGTGTCAAAAGGAAATGCTTGCATACTATGGGTAGTAATAATAGCAATTAGCAGTCTATACATATCCTATAGTTTAGTACCTAGTAAGTTTTATTGTTATACTAAATGACTTGATGATACAAAAAGGGTTGATTGTACTGCTTTTTTTAAGAAATATTTTTTTATATCAACTATAAAAACACCCGTATATTATCCTACCATAAATATTTACACTGGAGGACTTTAAACCTTTATAAGGCAGAAGGAATATAGTTCCCACCATATTTTGAACTTTATTCGCTTGTCAAGGTCCAAAAATAATGAAAAATTTGACTATGCTATGACTTAAAAGGGGATTAAATTTTGTCGCTCTATAAATTGCTATCAAGTCAGATACCTCGTTTAAATTAGGAGTTAAAAATAACACGTTATTAGTAAATTAATAATTTTATTCTTTTATTTGTTAAATATTTACATAGCCTATTTAACAATCTAATTTAATAATAAAATATGAAACTTAACTAACATTTGCTTGATCACATTTTTCACGTAACACCTAAATTAGCATTTTATTTGTTGAACATGGTAATTACACTGGATCTTTAGATTCACGTGTTAACAGCAATAAAATTTGCGACCTAAGAATTATTATGAGTATAATAAAGTAACAATAGTTAACACATCTAAGGCCTTGTTGATATATCTTTTGTTTAAAAGTGCAATAATTCATTAAAAAATGGTTGTAGGATATACAATTTCAACGATTTTTGGGTTCCTTAACTGATACAATGCTAATTTCCATCTCAACTTACTCTTGACCAGTAAGACAAAAATTTTAACGGATTTATGGAAAATGACTTAACTTACAAAAATACGACTGTATTAAAAGTTTAATTACACAATACAGCATTAACAACAATAGACAATCACACATTTCAATATTGCGTCAACGTTTTAACACTACAAATATTCAATCACTGAAAAGGGTAAAGTAGGTGGCACAATGATTAGGTTAAACTGTAGAAAAAATATACTGCTTCTATAACAATATCCACTGTATTTTGTACCATTCGTTCAGCTCATTGCGATGTGGTCTTGTATACAATCGTAATAAAATATTGCATTTCGTTAGCTTCTATTGCTAATTTGCTACTGCGCTAAGCGTCACGGTAGCTAGTTACTTTTTACATTATAGGCTTTATTGGGTCCCGTCGCAATGGTGAACACCATAGGATGGGATCCCTCAGATTCATAACGACGTAGGAAGAAGTCCTGCGATAGCAGTCTTCTGTCCCTTGCCATACTACGCTACAATTATACCGATTACCGACAATAACTTTGAAATGTGGCAGTGGTATTTATCATTAATTGGCAACACTACCAAAACTTATAATACATTTAAACAGAACATTGTAAAAACATATTTCTATTATTGAAATTGATAGGTAAAAAATGTGTAAATATTTATGGGAAATCGACTTCTATAACTAGAAATAACAACGTTTATCATATAATGGAGCAAATAGTGAAACTGTACGTCGACTAGAATCGCCGCGTCTACCGGTGCTCTAGCAAACTGCTTTGTCCTGTGCCGCGTGTTGGGCCCAATTCTGAGACGGTGGCTATTTCATTCTTTAATTATTGGTAAGACACATTACACAGGCCTCAGAACTGCCAAATAATAAGAAAGGCAACCCAGGACAGACTGTAATACCGTCTTAAAACAAGAAGAGCTGATCCCAAACAATGGGAAAAAGGGCTAGGGAAAATAAGAAGAATGGAAAGAGAGAACGACTTTAGTGATTTGCAATTTAAATGTTAACGGTTTTTTGACAGTGTTATCATGTTATTATTTTTATTAATCTATTCAAATTTTAGTAACATACAACAGTCTCAGAATCGAGCAAATTGTAACATTGCTTATTATTTTGTAACTAATGTTTTAGTACATCGTAATTGCTTCGTACAAACCACTACGAAGTCGTGGCACACTTTTACGATTACAATGAAAAAATTCAACAGCGTATTTACACCGATACTAACTTTAAGCCTATTCGTCGAACACCTAATGTAAAAATAAAAATCTCATTCGCAAAATCATCAAGCACCTTTGTAAAAAACATAGTACAACTAGCCACCACAGGCCAACCGTCTCTCCTTAAACTAATAATTATGAGAACTACGCGATTGATATTCGTATTGAACAAAACTATTGACGTTAAATGAATACCCTGTCACAGGATTTGAAATGTAAGTCAAGTAAATGATCAAACCGTGTTCTAAGTACGTCGTACAAAATAGCACACCGTGAAATAACTAAATAAAAGTCCATTACGGACGACTAAAAACCTAAAGTAAAAAAGTTAGACACCATAAATTGGATTTGACACCCCGGGGTTTGTCGTTCCGGGACTACAATACAAACGCCCGAAACTTAACGTTATCTCGTTACAGTCACGTAATATAAAAATGCACTGCTAATACTAAGTTACACGATACTATCAACAACCTCATGATTCCGAGTGAAATCTTCGATCAACTTTGGCTACAAAACTCTATTAAAAACGGTAATTAGTAAAACTGATATTATTGCGTTTAATGTCGATCGGAGATGTCACTCGGAACTGTAACAGCGATATATTCCGACCCGTATCCGCTCGGGTCGCAACTGTAACAGGGATATATTCCGACCCATATCCGCTCGGGTCGTAACTGTAACAGCGATATATTCCGACCCATATCCGCTCGAGTCGCAACTGTAACAGCGATATATTCCGACCCATATCCGCTCGGGTCGTAACTGTAACAGTGATATACTCCGACCCGTATCCGCTCGGGTCGAACGCAGTCGCCAGCACATCAAACTGTCCATTTTTGTTGCAGAATAGCACCTATCACAACTAAATAAGATGCCCCAGTGTTCAGTTCGATGTGCCGTCGTTCGTACAATATTACGGACATCGGTTTGGTCACAGCAACAGACAGTTGCCAACGCCTTATGGTAATGTATCTTGCTACATCCAATCGTACCTAACGATACTTAGTAAAGCGTGTACTTTTCTATAAACTCTTCATTTATACATTTGGTACAGATATATTTTATATCTATTCAATCTCATAGCTGATATTTAAATGATCACAAAGGTCATTGATACATAAGCAGGATTTTTGTTAATAATTTATAACAAGAAACGTTCCATTAGTCCGTTTGGCAATGACAACTTACAGTGTTGCCAGGTAATATATTTTAGTAGTTCTTCATGACATTAACAATGTTGCCACACGAAATATTATCTTAATTGGTAGTTTATTTGATAAATGTGGATCACTGCTGCGGCTTACGTGTTGTTGGTATCAGGTTGGAAGTAGTGCAGGCCGTTTATCTGGAAGTCAAAGAAATTATTTGTCAAATCGGCTGTTAATATGCATTTAAATTAAATTAGCCACCATATTTCGTACATTGCCTAATTAACCAAACCTAGATAACAAAATGACAAAGATAAAGATAAAAGATCATTTATTCACCGAGACAAGGTAGATGTTACAATAGTTTAATACAGTTCAGCTTATCTCACCAGCAAGCTAGTGTGTGATTATTAATTTTTTTTTGAATTGATTGATTTGAATTACAGATTTCCAACTTCTCATCTTCTATAGTTGTGACAAATTCAAAAATTCAAATTCAAAATTTATTTATTGGAAACAAGAAAATTTGTACATGAAAAAGCGTGTACGGTAATAGCCGCAATAGTTTCAGAGAACTGTGGTGCGACTACTAACGCCCACTTCCGTAATGTCTTTACGTGACTTGTCTAGTCACTCTTCTCTTCAAGCAGCCAAGTCACCATAATTCTGAACTTTATTCCGTAATGTCAAGGTAGCCAGGGTATACGAAGGTGATGAAGGCGTAGATAGCCAACTAACCAATACAAAATGATAGATTTTTCCAAAGGATTTTAAACTTATTATCTTAAAGGTCCAATATCTATTGGCCATGGTTGTGACAGCAGACAAGTAGCCGCACTATTCTGAACTCTATTCTCTTATATTAAGGTGTACCGACCGTCATGTCGTACTCGGTGACGAAGGCGGGCAGCTCGAGCTGGTCGCGCGCCATGACGGAGTACAGGTACTCGACGCCGGGCAGGCTGTGCACCTTCGCCTTGATCGCCGGCGCCATGAACGTCGTGAACCACCACGTCATCATCTGGAAGGGCAACACGTGTTATACGTCACATATTACGTCATCAAACTCAAACATTTTATTTGCCATTAAGTAGGGTACAGGTACAGATGGAATACAGGAAAAAAGCTCATTATCCTACTAAGCCAATGAGGGCAATCGTTTTTATACTTAACAGTTGGCACCCCTGGCGATTGACAGGACCTTACTCTACAGTGGCGCCATCTTGATGAGTGCAAATGCGATAGTCGTCGTACCACTTTAGCGCTCACCAGTTGGTGCCACTGTCTTCGCTACTAGCAAGTGACAGGACCTTACTCTACAGTAGCGCCATCTTGATGAGTGCAAATGCGATAGTCGTCGTACCACTTTAGCGCTCACCAGTTGGTGCCACTGTCTTCGCTACTAGCAAGTGACAGGACCTTACTCTACAGTGGCGCCAACTGGTGAGCGCTAAAACGATAGCCCTCATTACATATTATCATGAAGCAATTTCAATTTACACAATTAAGAATTAAGATTTTATATTGAGCATCAGGGGGCTTAGTGTGTTTACGTCAGACGCATTCGATGTCAAAAAGGGAAATTAAATGTATGACGGGTTGTACAGCGCCCCTAGCGGAAACTTGCAAGAACTAAAATCTTCATATATTTTTTTAACCGCTCGCTAGTGACGACGTTTGATGTAAACTCACATTAAGCCCTCTGGTCATTTGGTCTCCACTGCAGAAGCACGGGTATCTAATTTACCAGAGGCAAATGGAGGATTTGGCCTACACCCTCCACGCTGGCCAGACGGGTTGGCGAGGTACAATTACATGCCATAATCATAATATTAAACTTCGGTTTCGCGATCATAACGCTGCGGTATGGCGGACACAAAATCGCATGAAAACGTCTAGATCGTGAGACCAAAGACACAACATATTATGTGTCACATATTAAGTGCCACATACATCATATTTTATATTACTTACAAGTTTAAAGAAAAAATGCCGTGTGGTAGGCAGTTAAACTACACAGCAAAACGTATGTTATATTATAATTATCGCAAATCGAAATTAATAAATTATGTATGTTTAATAAAATATTATAGTAAATAACTTACTTTTGTCCAAAACGTGGGGTGAACGATGTAGAACGCTTTCAAGTTCTTCTTATATCTGTAAATAATAAAAAGATGTCATGAATGAAACGGACCACACTAAATAGACTTATAATATAATTAGATCAAGGCCGAGAGTCGATCGGGCCCTACATTTGCTATTTAAAACTCATGAATGTCTTGACGACATCGTTTCTGTACTGTTAGCATAGATTAATCATTTTGGTATAGCCTATCCTATAGTAATGAAATAGCATTAGTGCACTGGTATGAATGCTATTCTATGTATTGTATTATCTATGGCGGATAAACATTCATTCATCATTAAAGTTTGCTCCCTTGTGGAATAGTCTTCGCAACCGAATTGGTTGTAGAACTATGCAGCGATTGGGTTTACATTATCAAATGCCTATTTGCTCAGGCCCAGAACAGACGGTGAAACGCAACTGCAACGAAACTGCAACTGCTAGTTACTTTTGAGTTGCTACAAAGTTTCTGCCATAGCGTCCGTTGAGAGACCACACATGACGCGACCAGTTTCAGTTTCATTCATCAGAATCCTCAGAAAGTTGCAGTTTCGTTGCAGTTGTGTTTCACCGTCTGTTCTGGGCCTAAGGGTGAGTTGGACCATCTTACTTAAACTTTGAAAAACGTAAAAATCTGCCAAACTCCGTACAAAAAGTACCATTAGTGTTATTTTTACGGTTAAAATAAGTTGGTACAACTCAGCCTTAGAGATTAGCATTTTTCAAATAAGAAAAAATAATTTATTCATAATATTCATCACATGTCTAGTTTACATGTTATGTTCGTATGAGATAACCGACGTTAATAAACCCACATAAAAAGTGGAATGCAAATTAAGATGTAAGTGTTGATTGATTAGCGTCTCTTAAACTAGTCGTGTTTTTTTAAAGAATATTATTAATTTGTATTGCACAAATTACTAATAGACCTTTCGGTAAAGTAAATATACGCTTATTGTTGTTGTTAAAGGTGGATTCATCACAACACAATAGCAGAGTAAATACAAATGAGTAGGTCATCTCATCTTCATAGAAACGCCCGAGCGCGGTTTGTATGTGAGCGCGCCAATACGTATGCAGCGCGCACGCACACACTCGACAAAATTCGGGGCAACTCACCGCTAATCCACGCTAAAGGACATTGTCAGAAACCGCCTAAAAAACCGCCCAAAAACATTAACCCATCATAATTATTTTCTATTTTTTTTAATACATTAAGCACCCTTTCATTCTAATGGACACTTAAGCATTGAAAAATTAAATAAATAAGTCTTTTAACGTTTATTCTATAATACTATTACAACTTCCGGACGTTTTGGTGCGTGGCATGGTCTAAAACNTCATAAAATAATTAAAAAGACACGGTAAGCGGCTAGCGGTACCGTACGGTACCAGTAATTTTGACATACAGTATTTCCCATTATTATTACCTATCGACGTAATTTTAAATCATTTCACAATAAGAGCACTTATGGAGAATACAAGATTGTAACAAAATCAGTATTTCACTATCACACAAAAAAAATATGATCACTTACTTGAATGGCGCGTCAATTTTTAAGAGAAAATTTTGATGCGCTCACTTCAATCATTAATTACACACAACTGAAAAGAATAACTGTCAATATTTATTCCCAGAAGCATAGACCATATCTATTGGCTACGATTTGCATCAATCAGAGCACTGCATCTTTTCATGTATTAATGTATAGAGCCAAATTAAAACACACAAAAAAATGGTACCATATGGGACCGCTAGTCTATAATGGGTTAATTTCCATTCTAAGAAGTAGGATATAATAATAACACAGTTCTTGATTTACATTAAGATAGCTACAGATGTTTTCCAGGAATTTTGGATGGAACGGAAAGTTCCTATAATGTATTTTTCACGTTAACTCCTCCGTTTGAAATACATTTTATTTGTATTTGAGAAAATAGATGAAAAAGTGTGCTAGATCTACGAAACCTTAATATTATTACACACACTATATTATCTTTTAGATATAGTAAAAACAAGTATTATCTTCGAAAGACCATACATACCTTGACAAACATAAACTACTGTTTTTTCAGTACCTACTTAGTATTAGGTAGGTACTTAGGTACTTCAATTTGCAATCAACGATAAGTTTCCTTAAATCAATACATAGACGAGATAAGTAGCTCGGTGTTAATGTTTGTAACATTGTCAGTTTCTATTTTGATTCTGGATTATTATAAAAAAAATATCCTACCCGTTCGTCCCACCAAGACTGGTGGTGGGACGAATGGGAATAAAAATTAAATATTTTATTAAATCCCGTTCGTCCCACTGGTGGGACAAAGCTTGGTGGGACGAACGGGAATAATCCTTTGATTCTTGTAGTATTTTCACAGGTTCAGTTTTACCTTAATTCCTGAGCGCATCCATCTTCCTCAGTCCCGTCGACGACCAGGCACGCTTGCCAGGTTTGCTGACAATCCATCCATCACCCTGCTGATTGATCACCAGGAAATAATCCGATAAACTTTCCAGCATATTTAGAGACCTGTTTTTTTAAGTTGATTTTTTTTTTATTTACTTACTTAACATTTCGCTCTGGCAGGTGGTTACAGAGATGGTGGTTTGTAAATCTATCACTAGGGTGGAGACCTGGAATAATAACACGGTCTCACGAACACAAAAAATGATAAGGACACAATATCTAGTTGTGTAGTTACAAGAATTTGACTTGTATGGGCGAATAGTTTGATTTCTTCTAGCAATAATGATGAGCGCCTTCTGAAGCTCAAAATTAGAGAAAAATTGACGCGCAACTTGTTGCTTTCGAATAAAACTAAATGTGTAGGATCGGCAAATGTGCCGTAATTTTATAATCTACTATCGGCCGCCCACGACTGAATTCGTACAAATTCGTATGCGTGGATCCCGTTTTACCCCCTTAGGGGTTGAATTTTGCAAAATACCGTCTTAGTGAGCACCCACGCTACGTTCTAAAAAGAACCTTCATACAAAATTTGAAACTCCTAGCACTTGTAGTTTCAGAGATTTCATGATGAGTAAGTCAGTCAGTGACCTTTCGCTACTTATATGTTTAACGTAATACCATATTATTCTGTGGTACCTAAGTAATACGTTAGGTAACAAATACTATAAAGAAGATTCAAGCTATACTTTGGTAGGTATCTTAGGTTGTAAAAGATGCTATATTTAATTATATTGTAATGTACTGTACGTACGAGTACCTACATGATCGAATTCATGATAATAGTATTTTTGTCACCTCAAACGTAACTTTTCCAAGTAAATATCCGATATTGAAATAAGAATATTATTTAGGTGGATATCGGGGATTTGGTTCCTAGAAGCTTTTGCTTCGTTTGTTTGAAAAACAATATTTTGATAGTAGATTGGCTTCTTTCTTTGTCTTATTTTGGATAGTAATAGTGTAACTCGTTTCTAGGAACTTATCAAAGGAAGGACTGTCCATTGTTGATTGATTTTCGACCATTGTGCTTTGACCTTAGGTACTGAGAAAAGTGGTATATCAGATGACCGATTGGTATTGGTCAGTTCCACGATGGAATATACCTAGAGTTGAGTTTTATATTCCTGTTTGGGTTTGGGCAAATAACCTTGCCATTATGGGAATGTTCCATGAAAATCATTGCCATGTGGACTTCGTGTAGCCATTCAACTTGGTTAGCCACTTCATCTCTATCATTAAGTACTAAGAGTTAACATCACTGCAAAGTATACTCTAAGTCAAGCACATAAGAGCTAAGTCCACCAAGTCCACCTACTTGTAAGGCAGCACGGTGTAGACCTCCTTCAGCCACGAGAAGGGCGGGTGGTTGGCGGATGACGCCAGCGTGTGGAAGTACGCGATGACGTAGTCGCCGCGCACGATCGGGTCCAGCAGCTTGATCAGGTATAGCAAGGCCTAGAACAGAGAGATTTAAAGATAAACAACTGTCTTAACTATCCAAGTATGTTAGAAGAGGCCCCTTCCTAACGGAGGTTGTGTCAGATGAAGCTATTTCTTGTTCAATTAAAAGAAACTAATAATAATAAAACAATAAAACTTCCAAATCATCCATTTGCCTCTGGTAAATTAGAGAGGGTCTTGCCTTGCTTCTGCAGTGGAGACTAATTTACTGATGATGATAATGATGAAAACAATAAGAAAAGTGTGCCATAAAGGTACACAGCAAATAGTTATGATGATAGACTATGCCATGACGCTGGTTTTTAGCAGATGACCCTTGTGAATCTTGTGATACTGGGTTGGAAAATATCGGTTGTGATGTGATAATAAAAATGAGCCCATAATTATTTTAGTTTTCCGTGTATTATGGAGATTGAAATTGTTTTTATATGTACATAGTAGGCATTTAGAGAAAATAATACACAGTTGATCTTGAAGAACATCTGTGCATCGCATACAAATCGCGGTGTTTATTTCTCGTATGTTTATCGAGGTCGCCGAACCAACGTCTTTGCTAGTGCACAAAAAAGGGTATGTGGGGTGAGCGCCGTGGGAGCACACACGTACGCATAGCTCAGATAACTCCTTTATTGTTTTGATTGATGATTTCCAATTGTGATCAAGGACGGTTATTGATTTATTATTGACAGAGGATCTTTCAAGTCGAAATAGGAAGAAATCCTGAAAAAGATGGTCGGTGGAAAGTGGCAGGATCTCTTGTTACATGTCTTTATGAGATTCACGAAAGAACGCTTTCTCGAGTGGATTATCATGTCACGGTAAAAGCCAAATGGCGATGAAGATGCAAAATAAGCCATATGAGGAAATACCGTTTTCTAAATAAATCCATAAACTTTAGTTCTAGCCAGTCTACTTTTAAAGAACATTCTGAATTTTAGTCGCAGTTGTCAGCGTCTGGCTTTGTATGGAGGAGATGGATCGATCCAAAGTATTGACACGAGTAGTCCTGCTTCATAACCTGACTGATTCATTGCCACCATATTTTGAACTATATTAATTAACAGTACAACGCCTTCGAATTAGACTTCAACATGCCACACATAAAGCTTCAAATCAGCAAACCCACTCACCTTATCAAGGTCGATGTCTCCAATAGGGAACCACTTCCCAATGAAGATGACGACGGGCCTGCCGAGCCGGTCCACGCCGCTCTGGTAAAGACAGCCGATGCCCGACACCTCGCTTAAGTCCTCGGTGCGCGCGCGCCGAAGCAGACGCTCGTATCTGGAAACAAAAATAGGTTGAGTTAGATCTCTTGTTGCATTTGATTAGATTAAGGGCATTGGAGGTAAGGAGGAAGCCCTCTTATAGTGGTCCATGTGCAAAACATGTGAGGGGAACTAGGAGTCTAGGACCTTAATATGACCTAGGCTTAATATGAGTATACATAAAACGTCGTCACTAGCGAGCGCGTTAAAAAAATAAATGAAGATTTCAGTTCTTAAAAGTTTCCGCTAGGGGCGCGGTACAATCCGTCATACATTTATTGTCACTATTTTACGAAGTCGATATCGAATGTGTTAGACGTAAACTCACACTACGCCCCCAGATTGTAAAGTAAAACATTTACCTATGTCGAGTTTGTGCCGAGATTTGATTGTCTCCTTGGTGAACAGGGAGCTCTTCCTATTGTCTCTTCATCTTTTGGGCCACCACTTTTAGACAAACAATAAGTTTAGAATGTGCAGTTAATTTGAAACGAGCTTGCTTGATGTGATACTCTCCTCTACCTGATAATTACCAAAATCTGTTGAATTGCTTCTTCCGTAGTTCGTAGTCTTTATTAGTAGCTTTTGCAGTTCAGTATTAGGGTGCTAAAGTATGTTGAAGTGTAGGCGTAATTTGAACAGTCATGATCGTAACAATACCTACCCAATGATTTAATTTTAATGATGAAGTCATTACATGCCAGTCCAGCATTGTACAACTGGTTATACTTATTAGTATGATGCGCACAGGATGTGAGACCGTGAAAAAAATGGATGAATGTCACCCGACAAGTTCCAAGACAAACATGGGAATATTTGCACGGATTCATTCATTGCCCTCAATAGTAATTAGCTGCGTTTGTTCTTCACACATTTTTATCTTCCTAGGTGCATGCACGCGAATGTAGATTTTATTATCACGGCTCACGGGTGTATTTGCCTCCGAGACAGTTTGACATTGGTGTACATACGAGATTCGAGTCAGTCGACATGTTTTGAGATTTTGGTGCCGAGATTTGTTTGCGCTGCTAATACCTATGTAATTAACACCAGTCTGATGATACCGTTTTGAAAACTTTCTTGCTTTCGATGGCATTTTGTATAAGAAATCTTCCAACTCATTGTATTACTTTTCAACCCTTTATAAATGTCTGAAGATGTTTAATTAAGTAAGGATCTGGCTGGCTGACTGGATAGGGATTCTATAGGACACTTTTTGTTCTAGGCAGATACTAGATTTAAATAATCAAGTTACATTACAAAACCAAATGAACAAGTAAACGAAGCCCGAAAATTGGGTGTGGTTATCATAGCTATAAGAGAGAAGCAATCACTCATATCCAAAGGAATAGTGGTCAGATCTAGATCTAATTTATTGGTCGCGTGTTTACTAACCACAAAGGCAATCGCGCCGCAAATAGAGTTATGCGTATGAGTAATGTGACATAAGAGTATTTCTCAAAAAAAATGTACGTAACGAAATAGTAGTAACGAAATAGTAAGGCCATAAGGCTTGTTATACATTGGCGAAATATTGTGAATGCTCTTCATTTATTCAATTCAAAATATTTGTAAGTATGCACCCAAATACGGGGTAATATTAAGGGGTTAGAAATAAAATAAGGGAGTAATCATTCATACTATTTTAATAAAATTATTTTTGTTCCATCATGTTTATCCATTTTGAGTCGTTCTCTGTAAGCTTTTTGCCTTTCGGCATTGGTTTTTGGCGGCATTCCTAAAAAAACAAAAGAAGTAATCACATAAAAACGTAATCTAAATGATTTGATAATTTTTTGCTGGTGGCACTTCTGTAAAGCAGATAGTATCCAATCCTTTTGTTATTAACGCTCTATATTTTTTGAAATAAATTAAGTAGTGAATATTACTATGCTTAGTCAGGTAATAACAGTATACACTCAGCATTATGTTGTACTTTTTCGTAACGTAACGAAATTCGTAAAAAACGTAACGAAATATTAGACAAAATGAGATCAGAAACAAGTATTTTTTTGATAAAATTTGTTACAGCAAATATAAAAGCTTACTAAATGTTCGTACCACACGTATTACAAAAAATGGTTAAATGAAGACTTACCGTTCTATATAAAATCGCTGATTTTACTGCCTGTTACGAAAAAGTAATCCCACAAAACACACACGTTTTCACTAATTTTCGCGATAGATGTTATGGCGGAGACGTCAGGCCAACAGCCATTCAGAGTGCAGCTATTGTTGTCCGTGTAAAATAAATACGGAATTGTTCAGAAACCATGGGAAAGTAGAAATAAATCGTAACTAAAGAGTAAATAACGAAATAGTAAATGAGAGCGACTCATTTTGTTTTTTTGCTTTAAATTGCCAATTCATTATGACACCCCATAGAAAATCAATTTGATACAGAAACTGCGATTACTGTAGAACGATAATACAAAGAAATTTACAATAATTTAGTTACGTATCGCATTTTATGAAACAAAAACACATGAAAAAGCTAGGGTGGCAAACAGATTTTTGTATGAAAGGTAAAAAAGGACTATTTTTAAAATATCTAAATATTTGGTAATAAGTAGGATTATAGCTATAATTCTTCGTTATCTTAAAGATTAATATTCATCCTTCAAAATTGTGTGTGTGTTTTTTTTGTGTGATGATTTATAAATATAAAACTTTTGAACTGTTTCAAAGCACACTTTTTTTTTTCAAAATGTACATTTTTTTTGAGAAATACTCATAAGCGCTTGTATCTTGAATCTTGACCTATATCCACTATTAGAACTACGCAGATCCGCCGGTTGATTTCGTGTGAAATAAATAAAAGCTGTCCGTGAATGTAGTAGTAATACGAAATATGCAATAAAAAACTAGATTCAGATGGTTATAAAGCGAGAGATCTAAAAAATACTTTAACCTCGATATTTAAATATCGCTGGTTATAAAATATTATGAATGTGTTTATGTTTACAACATCTATTTATCTGACTGCGCCAGAAGGAGGGTTATGTTTTTTTCAGGGTGATTTTAGACTCCACAAGACAGAGTAAACAACGACTCTACGTAGACTTAAATAGACGAGATCTCTAGGTTTCGATACGCAATTAATTTCTCTACCATACCGATGAAAGAAAGCAGTCTGAATAGGATTGGCGACAAAAATAGAATAGAATAGAATAGAATAACGTTTATTTTGCTGCCACATGAATACACATACATACATAAAACAAACGGTCAACATTACAGAACCAGTCAAAAGAATGATAATTAAAATTAAAATTAATCGGGACAGTTACTTGGCGGCGCTGCAGCAGCAAAAAGGTCCCCGTCTCAGCATGTGTCAAGTGCATACCACATGACGCTGATTTTCAGACGGCGGCCGTGGTCTGAGTTGCTCGGTGTATCAGGATATGAATTTTATAAATGTCAAATTTAATGTCAAGTAGTAGAAGAAATTAATACAAATAAAAAATAATAATAATTAAACAACATTAATATGTATAATTAAAGGAAATGTCAAAATTAAATGTCAAAAACGATAGAATTGTAGATGTCAAAAAGAATCATAAAGAACAACTAGAGGACTTGATGATACTTAGCAACGTGTCATTTTTTGAATGCTGAGTAGGTGTTTTCTAAGTTTACTTTTGAAAGTAAACTTAGATTGAGCTTGTCTAATGTCTAAATAGTGTGTGGTGTATCCAGGGCAACTCATTAACGGGCCCGCTAGAAAGCAGCCCCTAACGAGCCGACTCGGGCACTCTTAATTGATTGCTAATTAAATACATCGCTTGTCGTTTTGCTCAATTTGTAGTAATGCTCTCTTAGTGAGAGCATTATTCATGTTATGATAATTTCAACTTTCTTCGCTTCAGAATTGTGGAGATTGTAACTTGTTCAGAAAAGTTTTTAATATTCTCGCATGAAAAGAATATTTTTACGACATTAGTGATTCTCTTCATGTTTTCGCAGTTACTCGAAATAATTCGCATTCGCATTCATCTTCTACCATCTACAAGACCGATGATACAAAAAGGTGGAATTTTTATAATGTGAAGCACAGACAGATGGTATCAGGAATTCAGGGCATTCCAGGACTTTGATCAAAATATCTCATACACGCGAGTGTATATTTATTTAAAAAGTTAATGGCTAACTCGACCTTCGACCTCATCAAAGGAGGAAGCAAGAGTTAGAAGCCATAGGAAGTGATATAAAACAGATTCCAGGAACTCCATTGGTAAACTCCGCTTCGTCGTATATGAGCTTTTAAACTTGACTAAAAGAAAATAATCGTCTAATCGACTTAAATATCAGCTCCGACTATGAAAGGAGGAAGCAGAAGTAAATATGTTATTGCTAATCCACTGACATGAAACAGATTTCAGGAAGCTTTTGCGGTAGACGCCAGTTAAATTGAATCGCAATTATTTGATTACGTTATTATCAGTTAAACAGTTTATATTTGCGAGCCCAAATTAGAAGGATGTTTGTAATAGTTTGTATATTCTGACTGGATGGGTTTTAATGGTAAAATGCTATTACTATCAAATAGTTCACGATTTCGATTAGCTATTTGTTGTAAAAGGTCATCTGCTTCGGTTTCCTCAAATAGTGTACGAAAATAGCCCAGGCGTCGATGTAACTCATCGCACGTCAGTAGTGCCCACGTCACGTTATATGTTTGGGGAGCACACGCATGTTTGTTTATTATTCAATGGCAACCTTTCACGACTATACGTTTGTGGGTTTATGGAATAAATAATAAGATAGTAGTAATTTGTTGTGGGGTGTAAAAATAGTTCTGAATGATATGGATGGTACTATTGATGTCCAAGCGAAAGGTCGGGTAGTGGACTTCGAAATAATTACATTACTCAATGTTATGGCATATTGTTTTGGCCATCAAGATTCACATCAACCAGCCCATTAATGTAATCAACAAGGACTTGAAAGGGATTCGTGCGTTGTAAGAAATGGACCTATCAAAAGAACGTATAAAGTATGTCCCAAATTATCGAA